TTGGTTCCAATCACCGTATATCTTTTTTCACTTTCTGTTTATATTTCCTTCCCCTTTTTTATCTCCTCACATAACTTCTCAAGTATACCTCTTTTCCTGTGTTTTCTTTTATGTATTTGTTATTTATTGGTACGTTTTAGATATATAACACAGTTACATTCACCATTGGGATCTTGTACCTTTATATGACTTATCTTGGTTTTTATCTTTCCCATTCCCCAGCCCTCCCTTCACTGTTTACAAAGAAATCGTTTCCATGTTTTCTTTCTTACATATTTTTTTCTTTTCCCTTTTTCCCTTTCTCTTATTCCTAGCAATTCCTCTATAGTTTTAGACCTTTTCTTCCTATAACACATTGTAATTATATATTTTGATCCTTATTTACACTTTTAGTTTTCAAACCAGAGAAACTATTCAGAATTTACACATGTGACACTTATTAATTTCACTTAAGAGTATGGCTTCTTCATAATTACTATTCTTCAATCTTCCTCTGTTATTGTGACAGTTGAGACATTTAAAATAAATTTTAAATTATATTTTGGTAAAGGTTTGGTTCATTGTATGTGGATATTATTCACAATATTTCAGTCCTTCCAAGGCAGTACTATAATCTGAACCTAATACTTTGAATAGCAGAGTGGATGCATTCAATCATACCCAAGCCATGGCCACATTACAGAGGGAAAAATCCACTCCATAAAGAAATCTCCACTGTAGTGACAGAGCTATCACTGCCAAATACTCCACAAGTTTCTCCACAGAAATGCAAGAATCATGAGAAAATAAGAGAAGATGCCCCCCAAAATTAAAAACTACACAAATCTTGATAAGCAATAACCTAGATAAAATTATTGACAAATATTTAAAAATCTACCAATTAAAATAGTTAAAATGATCAAAAAGGAGCAAAGAAATGGCTGAATGAATCAATTACTACAATGACCAATTAGTCTAATTAAAATAAAAATAAGCACTAAATAAATTAACAAAGAGGATGTAAAATATGAAAGAATTTTAATGAAGAGTTAAAGGTTATAAAAACAAATCAAGCAGAAACCTTGGAAATGAAAAATTGAACTGTATGTGCAGGGTTAGAAAGAATATACAGACTTGAAGAAATAATGGATGTAATGTTGTAGTTTACATCTAAAATTCCCACTGGAGCTCGCATCTCTCCATAATCTATCTCAAGGACTAGACAATGAAACACAGGATTTAATATTTGCCCTGTTTGTTTTCAGTTCTTCTTTGGTCTAATTTCTATTCACTATTTCTCCTTTTGGAACAAGAATATTTACCTTGTGCCATTTTATGTTAGAAGTATTTAAATTCACAGCTAAGCATTTGCCTTGAGTCTCAGATGAGATCTTTTACTGAACTTTTCAGCAATCCCAGAACTTCTATGACTTTGAAATCTCTTACATTACATGTGTATTACATAATGAGATGAGCACGAGTTTGTGGGGGGCAGTGGTAAAATGTAGTGTTTAGAGCTGAAATAATTGCATATTCAGAAGTGTAGCTTTTAAAAACTGACTGAACCATAAGGGTGACTTACTAAGTGTATTACGTGGCTGAATGTGTTGTTGGCAGGTGGGGCTCTGTCAGAAGTGATGGGCCACCGGGAGCATGAACCGGAAGATGCCTCTGTCTCCGGCTTCTCCTCCCTCCTTCCTGAAGCCATGAATTAAGTGGTTTCCCTCTGCCTTCACTCTCCACCATATCTGTGTGCCATTTCTGCCTTGGAGCCAGCTAACAATGGAGTAAATCACTGAAAAATCATGAGTCAAAATTATTCCTGCTCTTAGAAGTTTCAGGTGCCATTGCTTTCCCTCGGAGGAAAACTGACTTATGCAGTCAAAGTGGAGAAAAACAAGTGATACTCAGGGGTTATCCAAGAGCTTCTAGATAACTCTAAAAGAATCAATTCAAAAAGCTTCAGGATTGAGGAAAAAGAAGCTGAGATAGAGGGTAATAGCATAAAAGTTTACTTGCTGAAATTATTGATGAAAATTTCCCAAATCTAAGGTTTGAGATTCCTTTTCTTTCTTTTATTGAGTTTATTGGTACATTTTAGGCATACAGTACAGTTGCATTCATTATTGGGATCTTATACCTTTGCATGACAGGTGGTCTTGGATTGAGATAATTATCAAATGAAAGAAGTCATTCTTTACAAGCAGATAGACATAATCTTGAAAGTATCTCTCCTTATCATGAACAAAATGCTAAAACTTAAAACACAGAAATTGGAAGCTGTTAGAAGTAACAAATCACCTTTATGGGCCAATTCAACAGAATAACAGCATATTTTTCAATACAAATCTTTAAGGACAGGACAGCTTAGCATAATGTTTTCTAAGTCCTGAAAGAAAATAATCACCAACCCAGATACTGTGCCTACAATGTTATCCTTAAAAATAAGTACTTCTATGGAGATACCTCAAAATATTAGGATTAGAGGTCCCATTTGACCCAGCTATCCTTCTGCTGGGTATCTTTCCAAAAGAATCAAACCACAGTGATATATATGCACCCATGTTTATAGCAGCACTGTTTGTAATAGCTAAAGCTTGCAAACAGCCCATTTGCCCATCATCTGCACACTGGATAAAGACATTGTTTTTCTATAAAATGGGGTACTATTCAGCCATGAAGGATGAGAAACTAGAGACATTTATAGATAAATGGATGCATATTCAGGCCATACTGGTAAGTGAAATAAATAGGACATACATGTGTAAATACCAAATTGTTTCTCTGGTATGAATAAACTATAATAGTACATAAGATCCTAATGAGATAATTGATATTGTGAAATTGGAAGAAAAGGAATAAAGGTATAGGGAAAGTGGGAAGGGTAGGGGAAAGGAAATAAAGGAAAAGAAAAAAAATAGGAAAAAATGGAAATAAAGTGTTTGTAAATGGGGAGGAGAGGAGAAGGTGAAGGGAGGGCAGGGACAAGGGGAAAGAGAACCAAGACATGTCATATAAAGGTGCAAGATCCCAATGATGAATGTAACTGTACTATATACCAAAAATGTAAAAATGTACCAATAAACTCAATGAGAGAAAAATATCAATGGTAAGATTAAAAATATTAAAAATAGAAATTTAATTTAACTCAGCTATATATCTCTCATGGATACCTTCCCCAAAGCATCAAAAACATCATATGAAAGTAATATATGCATACTCATGTTTATAGCAGCACAAGTCACAGTTTCTAAGCTCTGGGAACAGCCTAGTTTCTTGTCAACAGATGGATGAAGAAAATGTGCAATATTATTCAAATATACAGAAGAATGAAAGCAAGACATTTTCAGGAAAATGGATGCAACTGTAGGCCCTGATGCTAAGTAAAATAAATCAGACAATTAAATAACTTATACTTTCTCTTATATTGGAAATTTAAATTGCAAATGAATAAATGAGGAAAGTAAAGAAGAGAGGTGGGAAAAAAGAATGCAGATTTTTTGGATATGGGGAATGAGATCAGGAAGGGTACAGGGAAGACAGAGGTAGGTAAAAAGACTGAAAATGATCAAAATATGTTCTATGCATGTAGCAAGTCCCTCAAACTCACATCACCACTGTGCATAGAAACATATAATAACAAAGTAAAAATATTAAAGATTAACCATAAAATTTGAATCTGTAAAAATATTATAAATAAATGTTGCCGTAAAGGTCTTAACATCGTCTTCAAGAAGATACTTTGAAAGAAAGCCAAACAAGAGCAATATGCTTGCATAAAACTAAATTCTGCTTTGCAATAGCCACAAGAATTCAGAGATAACCTATTAATAGTAGAAAATACTTACAAGAAATACGTCTGATAAGTGGTTAATATCTAAACTAACCAACATAACTCAATAACAAGGAAAAATACTTATTTAATAATGAGCTTCTTGATAGAAATGAAGACTTTTTCAATTACTGTGGAAACCCGTGGGGAGATTCCAAAAAAAAAACTAAAAGTAGCGCTTTTATTCAGAACATCTATTTCTTTTAGTAGTATCTTCCTGAAAGAATTAAAAGCATCCTTCCATAGTGATATATTCCACCCTTGTATATACCAGCACAGTTTGTAATAGATAAGTCTTGGAAACAACTTAAAAGCCCATCAACCAGTGAATAGGTAAAGAAGATGTAGCTTGTTTTATACAATGGGATGCTACTCTGCCATAAAGAAAGAACATCTTGAGGCATTTCTAGCTAAATGGATGCACCTTAAAACCATACTTTTTAAATTTTATTGAGTTTATTGGTACTTTTTAGTTATACAGTACAGTTACATTCATCATTGTAATCTTGTACCCTTACATGACAGATCTTGGTTCTCATTTTTTCCCCATAACCCTGCCCTCCCTTCACCCCTCCGCCCTCCCTATTTACAGAGATTTTTTTTCCATTTTTTCCTTTTTTCATATTTTTTCTTGTCCCTTATTTTCTTTCCCTACCCTTCCCACTTCCCCTACATCTTTAGCCCTTTTCTTCCTATTTCAACTGATAATGTGAAAACCATACTCTTTAGTGAGAAAAGTCACACACATGTTTAAATACTGCATATTTTTTCTCTGATGTGAGAAACCAAAAGTATAAAATAAAAACCAAAATGTATAATAGATATTGGGAAATGGGAAGAAAAATGTTCAAATGAGGGCAACAAAGGCAGAGGGAGGGGGAAGCAAAGAAAGCAGAAGGCAAAAATGGAAACAAAGCTTTTGTAAACAAGGAGGAGAAGAGGGTGGTGTAGTGAACATGTAAGCAACAAGTGGAAATTCCCCACGCTGCAGGCTGACAGGCCAAGCTGTCAAACCCAGCTGACAGTGTCAGTGATAGATAAGACCAAAAGTGAAACCAAAGAGTGAAGTCATCCCTGTATGTAGTAGATAGCAATTAGGTCATCAACCATATGTAGAAACCAGGTGTTAATCGATCGTGAGTGTGCTACCTAAGCGATAAGAGGCCTTAAGGATATAAAAGGGGCGAACCCAAGACCAGTCGTCGTCGTCCATCGCGACCCGGCCTGACCGTCACACGTCGCCACTCATCGCGACTTGACCAACTGACGCCGAAGGCTCTGCTGGAACGAAGACCGATCACGCGTCGCAGCTCGGACCTCTGCTCGACAGCCCAGCACTCGAAGCCACGGACTCAGGTCGTATAATCCTGATATATCTTAACGTTATACTTGCCTTAATGTTAGAGGTATGAACTAGAATACTCTGCTTATGGTCATTGTGGTATCTGTTCTGATATAGCTTTGCTTGTGTAACAATAAACCTCCTTAAAAGACATATCACTTGTAGTCCTTATTACCTCGGAGCCGGGGAGCCATTCAGAGCTCCCAGCTTGGGATCCGATTCCTAAATCGATGCTCACGACAGGTGGAAAGAAGGGGAGGGGAATGGAAAAAAGGAGCAGCTAGATACACCACGTATAGGTATAATGAGCATGATATTTTCGTTCTTTGAGGAACTCAGTTCTCTATAATGGTAGCACTATTTTATATTCTTATCAACAGTGTATAGGGGTTTATTTTCTACATATTCTTGCATTTGTTATTTATGTGTGTATAGTGGAAATAGTCATTCCTTATAGGCTGAAATGATATGGCATTGTGGTTGTGATTTGCATTTCTCTAATAATTAAGGGTATTGAGCATTTTATCCATATATCCATTGGCTGTTTGTATTTATCCTTTTGAAAAATGTGTATTCAGATCAGCAACTTACTTTGTAAATAAGTCATCTTTTGTTATGAGTAGAACTGTGTTTTAACAGTGTAATCCCATCACTAGGTGCATATTCAATTTTAGTATATGTGCTGCTGAAGCGAGCACAAGTAGGCACATATTCAAAGGAAATGCCACGTCTCATAAAGACACCTGCAAGTCCATGCTTATTACAGCGCTATTCACAATAGCCAGGATATAAAATCTACCCAAATGTCCATCAGAGAAAAGTGTGACATATACACAGTAGGATGATATTTACCACAAAAAGTATGAAGTCCTGGCCCAGGGATTTAGTTCAGTGGCACCGTGACTGCTTGGTTACTGTAAGGTCCTGAGTTTGATCTCTGGTACCAAGAAAATAAATAAATAAAAATTAAAAAGTATGAAGTACTGTCTATGCCATTCACAGATGCAGCTAAAAGGCATTAAATGAAATAAATTAGTCACAGAAGGACTTGCACCATCCAGTCTCACTCATGTGTGGATTCTGAACTTCTGATCTAATGAAAAATGAGAGAAGAGTAGTGTAAAGCAGAGAGTGAAGAGCATATGGTAGATGGGAAAAGTACAGAGGTTGATCAACAGGTCCAATGTAAATGTCTCCTAGGAAGAATGAGCTCCGGTGCCCTACAGCATAGCAGGATGAATAAAATTCACAATGGTGCATTATTTATCTTAACATAGGTAGAAGAGAAGAACTTGAAGCCCCCATAAAGAGTTGAAAAAAGTTTAAGATGATGAATATCCTAATTACTTTGAATTGATGGCTACCCCACATATACATGAATAAAAATATCATCATGTCACACGTATTTACTGTTTCCTATACTAAGTGCTAATATTATGTTTAAATGAAAAATACAGTTTTAAAAGAATAAATCTGAATTGACATTTTTGAGAACAGTTTAAAAATGAGAAAAGATGGAAAAATTAGAAACAAAGCTTTTGTAAATAGGAAGGGGTGGAGGGGTTGAAGAGAGGGAAGGGAAACGTGAAAAAATAAGAACCAAGATATGCCATATATAGGTACGAATTCCCAACAATGAATGTGATCCCAAGGTCTATGCAAAATGTACCAACAAACTTAATTTTTAAAAATGTCATCCAAAAGACCAACAGACATTTGTAGAAAGGCACAGAATCACTAGCAGTCCTGGAAGTACAAACCAAAACCACAATAAAACATCACCTCACAGTTGTTATGATAGATATTATCAAAAGGACAAGAGGCAAGTAATGGTAAATATTGTAAATGTCTGTACAGTGTCAGTGGGAATATAAATCCATACAATCATTATGGAAAATAGTATGGAAGTTCCTTAAAAATTAAAAACAAGACTATCCTAAGAACCAACAATCCCACTACTGATTGTAGATGCAAAGGAAATTAAGTCAATATTTTGATGATATATTTGCACTTTCCTGTACATGGCAGCATTATTTAAACAGTTAATATGTGAAATTAACAATTTTCCATGGACAAATTAAGGAGATCTTTCTGGCAAATAATAATGAACAAAATGAAAAACCAGATTGTTGATAAACATCAAGTATTTTTTTCTGATTGTAGGTTGGGAAGACCAAGATTATATGATAGGAGGTTCTGTATCTGCTAAGGGAACCCTTTCTAGTACATAGACTTGCCTCCCATTTTGTCCTCATTTGGTGGAAGGGGGATGGGAGCCTTCTGGAATTTCATTTATAAGAGCACTAATCCCATTCATGAGGGCTCTGCCTTTGTCAGCTGGTCTTTCCCTAGGACTGGCTGCCTTGTACCATCACCTTGAGGTTAATATTTCAACATATGAATTTTGAGAGAGAAACAGACTATAGCAAATGAATAAAGAAAAAAGTCAGAGCTACACACACACACACACACACACACACACACACACAAATATTCTTCAGCCTTAAACTAAAAAATTCTGTCATTTGTGACATTGATGACTGTAGGAAGACATCATATTTAAAATAATAAGCCAAGCATAGAATAATATTTATGATGCCAGTTATATGCAGAGGCAGAAAATAGAGCGGTTGTTTGGTAGTTGCCAGGGCCTGGTCATGGTCAAAGTGTATGAAGTTTTAGTTATGCAGGATGATTAATTTCTGGGCAGTGGAAATACTGTCATTTGTGACATTGATGACTGTAGGAAGACATCATATTTAAAATAATAAGCCAAGCATAGAATAATATTTATGATGCCAGTTATATGCAGAGGCAGAAAATAGAGCGGTTGTTTGGTAGTTGCCAGGGCCTGGTCATGGTCAAAGTGTATGAAGTTTTAGTTATGCAGGATGATTAATTTCTGGGCAGTGGAAATACAGGATAGTGATTTTAGCTAATAACATGCCATTGTATACTTGAAATGTTCGAAAAGAATAGATCTTCAGTATCTTTAACACACACATTGATACTCATACAATGTTAACTCTGTGAGGTTAAGGATATGCTAATCAGCTTGACGGGGACAATCATTTCACAGTTTATATCTATATCTATCTTTGTCTATCTATGTACATGTCAAAATATGTTATACACCTTGCAATTATAATACATCAATTTTCATTGACAAATGATACCTTAATAAATTGAAGAAGTAACAGACTCTGTCACCAATATTGCTCCATGCCATGGCTGTCTCCCATAAAATTTTATTTTCATTGCCCCTTACATAAAAAAAAATCTGGAAAGACTCTCATGACCACCTTCACCCTATAGCTTACTTCCCATCCTTTCCCCCAAAGAAGTGAGGTTTGATCTTTGCTCATCACAGGACATTTTCCAAAGTCAAATTTTCCATTGTTGTCCTTGTCTTTGAGAACTTGACTTCTTCAGCTTTATCAGAGGTTGGGGACACTGCCACCTCCTTGAAACTGCTTCTTTTGCATTCTATGTTCTATCAGTAACCTTTTTACCAGGCAGCCACCATGAAACATAGAGTCAATGTTGAACTGCTGTAGTAATTATTGCTGAAACTTTCTCTTTTCTTGTTACCCCTTTTCACTGTTTTTAACATATAATTAAATACCATTAAACATGCATTAAGCAGCAAACTTTTAAGACTGCATTTTAAAAACTGACATTTTCTTATCCATCATAATATATCTTTTGAATTCTACAGCAAACGTTTTCACTGAAAATCAGGTCACACATTATTCCTGGAATGGTATAATGTACAGAACAAAATGCCTGCTAGGAATATAAAGCTTAACAAACATATGAAAGAACTGTTGCTAGCTACCACCCAATAATCTATTTCCAGTGAGTAATTTCCATTTTAATAAATGGGAGCCTCACATTTATTACTAGTAAAATCTGACACTAATATTATTTTCCTACTATTTTTCACTGTTCCAAATTAATTTATCAGAATGCTTGATCAGTCTATCTCAAACAATATCAAGAATCTAACTTCTAGCATCTCTCTACACTGTTGTATACTTTATTCCATTTTGCACACTAACTAATCTATGTGTAACTGGATTACTGTAACAATCATTAGGTTTAACCCCACCTAATTATCATTTCCAGAAACAGAGGCAGAAAAAATTTAAAAGATTTCTTAGGGGATGTCATTCTTCTATTTATGTTCTGCAAAATGTGTCCTTCTTCTATTTAGTAAAATTTTAATTGTGATAGCTGTCTGGTACTCTGAGCAGTTCCTTTTTTTTTTATCAATAGAATGTATACCAGAAGTAAGTTAACTTTTTCTGTGATGATCCAGATAGTAAATACAGTTGAATTTACAGGACTTGTGATTTCCATCACACAACACTTAACTGTGTCTTGTCACGTAGAAGTGACTTTTGACAACCTATACATAAACTTTATTTATTATTCCAATAAACTTCATTAAAATATGCATTGAGAAGTGTTTGAACACTGGACTGTAGTTGACTGCCTGTTTATTTAGAGCAAAAGTCTTTCTTGTGCTAATTTTCCCAACTGGAATATCCTCTGTGATATGCACAGGACTCTATTCTTCTCCAAATGCTATCTCCTCAGGCAGGTTTTATAGCAGTAGCCCTAAACTTGAAAATAATGTTATAGCAGCCTTTGTAATTTGTTTTGCCTGGCACTTAACGTTCTTAAAATTAACTTTTATTAATTATCAGTAAATCACTTGTCATTCTGCTAGCATGTAAGCATCATTAAAACAGTTCCCTTGGGTGTTTTGCTTTCAGTAATATCTCCATTATCCAGAACTTTAGTATAAGTGAAGGCTTTCTAGCATATAGCTGCTCACAAAATGAAAGGTTCTAACACTAAGGAGAAATAAATATTTGCAACATATTTGGGAATAAACATTTATCCATTCATTTTTAATTATACATTTTGATTGATATTTAATTTCAATTTTATTGTCTCCCATTTAGTAACATTTATCCAGTAGTTCTGACTCAGAATAATAAATGGCTACATAAATGTTTTAATAAAACACAAATATTTCTAATCTTAAATGGGATACTTAAATAGAAAAAAATATAGATATATATGTACCTGTGTGTGTATAATTTTCATTTCTATGGAACTAACTATAGGTGTGGGTATAAATTATACATTTGAAAGTATTACGAAAATACACCTTTTTCATATA